TGAGGTGCCTTCTAGGGGGTACAACTTTTAGGTTTGCATATTTGTACCCCATCATGTTTCTAGTTGACGCATTCCGTTGTGCATGCTTCTTAAAACCAGGGTGCACATTCAACGCGGTTCGGCTTGAGATGTTGGGAAGGGGGTTTGGAGAAAAACAGTGATTGGCTCACGAGGGGCGACAAAAAAATGATTCCGCTAGAGCTTCGGGCATTTCGTAGGTGGCGGGAGGGGGTGAAATGGCGGGAGTGGGTGAAACCGAATGGCGGGAGGGATGAAACAGATTGGCGGGAGGGGGGGGGAAACGAAATTGCGGGGGAGGGGGGAAACAAAATTGCGGGGGAGGGGGGAAACGAATTTCGACCGGTTAAAACCGATATGCAAAATAGTGAACCCCTCTCCAGCTTGAAAGAGAGCTTGTCGAGCGAAACAATTTTCAAAACCAAACCAAGTTTGCACTGTTTCATTGAGAGCGTTTGAACAGATCGAACAAATCTGATTGGTTCCCGCCAAAACCGAAAAAAGGAACACAGCACGTCAGGCGTCGCATCTCTGTTTGGGGAGCCGCAGAGCAGAAGCACTGCGATCGTTTTGTCACGTCCCTGCAATTTTTTGCCCAGCTTGCAGTTCAAGTTGGGCATGGGTGAAGTACTACTGATTCAGATGTTCATTTTTTCGTGCTTCTTAGTTAGTTGCTTGTCTAGCCATATAGCCCTCAACTTAGGCTGTTGTTACCGCAACTTAGACGCGTAGTGATTATATGGCATGATTGCGCAGTAATTGTGCCGTTTAGATCGCCCTCTCGCCGCCTTCCTCTCCCGTCGCTTTCCTCTCCCGCCGCCCTTCCTTCTCTCCCGTCGCCCTTCTCTCCCGTCGCCTTTCTCTCCCGTCGCCCTTCCTACTCTCCCGTCGCCCTTCCTTCTCTCCCGTCGCTTTTCTCTCCCGTCGCCCTTCCTACTCTCCCGTCGCCCTTCCTACTCTCCTGTCGCATTTCTCTCCCGTCGCCCTTCCTACTCTCCCGTCTCCCTTCATCTCTCCCGTCGCCCTTCCTCTCTCCCGTCGCCTATTCTCTCTCCCGTCGCCCTTCCTCCATCCCGTCGCCCTTCCTCTCTCCCGTCGCCCTTTCTTTCTCCCGTCTCCTATCCTCTCTCCCGTCACCCGCCTACTCTCCCGTCGCCCCTCCCCTCCCGTCGCTCTTCCTCTCTTCCGTCGCCCTTCATCTCTCCCGCCCCATCACCCACCTCGGCGCCTTCGCGCTCGCCCCGAAATGCCTGCCCGTCGCCTCGTCGCCCCGTGATCGTCGGCCCCTCTCGCTTTTCCCTCGCAGCGTCACTGTCCCCGTCACATATGCCCTCGCTTTTTTCGTCGCTCCTCGCGGCACCCTCATCGCCGCCTTCCCATTACCTACCTCGTTGCCCTCTCTCTCCCCATCACCCTTTTTGCCTCCGTTCGTATCACCCCTCTTATCACCCTCACACTCTTCCCTCACATCGTCCGTCACCATCGCGTCACCCTTTCTCTCTCCCCTCACATCACCCTCCTCGTCGCCGTCGCCCTCGCCTCAAATCTCCCTTCCTCTCTCCCTTCGCATCACCCACGTCGTAGCCCTGTCGCCCCCCTAATCGTCCCGTCTCCCTCTCGTTCTCCCCTCCCATTTCGTAGTCTGATGTTGTTTTTTTGTGCGTGATTTTTGTCCCTCCCTTACCGAAACGCCCTCTCGTCCCCCACCCAATTTCTCCTCCCATCACCCACCTCGTCGCCTTCGCGCTCGCTCTCAAATGCCCTCCCCGCGCCCTTCCTCTCGCCCTTCCTCTCTCCCTTCCCTCGTGCTCGCCGCGAAATGCCCGCCCGTCGCCTTTCGTTTCTCCCCCCCATCACCCATCTCTGAAACTCCCTCCAGTCGCCCTATCTCTTCTCTCGTAACCCAGAAATCTCTGTTTTTCCCCTCCTTTTGTTTTTCCTATGCTGTGCGTGAATTGCACATGCCACAATCTGTGAAATTGGCACTCGAATGTGAATGGGACTTGCACGTCGCAAACTTGCGACACATTGCACATGTGCGTGAATTGCTCATTCTTGCGACGATTTTTGTTTGACGAAATCTGTGAAGGCCCGATCAGTATCAAACGCGTTTGAAAAATAAAAAAACAGAACACTTCCAACTTTCCAAAACGTTAAAACCCGCGTCTCATATTTCCTAGTGTATTTCACTTGGTTGGGCTAAAGCGGCTGTGATTGGGTAACGATAGGCGAGATTTGTGACGAGCAGTTTGGAAAACACAGACGAAACCTCAGTTCGTCTACGCAAAAGCCAAACCTAGAAAACACCTCCGGCAGTATCTCACTTCCATGCGACCATTTGAAACGACAAGACAATCCCCCCTTCACCAGGAAAAGCAGAGCAAAACTCTCAGCCGTCATTCTTATTACCTCCGCTTAGTAGGGTTCCTAGGCATGTACCTCCGCGAGCAAGATGCTGACCCATACACAGAAACAGGGATATAGAAGTCTATTAGCTCGCCTTTTAGGACCAGATAACAGGTGACTTGCGAACAAGTTTGGTTGCGGATAACGCACTAATTGGCGAGTATGGAATCGTCCAATGTCGGGAACCGTCGCAACGCGGTCGAGTGTTACGAGGTAGGCAGTTCGTAACATTCCGAAATGCGTTGTTACTTTTCTGTATACAGCTGTGGAACCCGGAGAGGTGATGTCGCATATCAGAATGCGCACGGGTCTACGCCAAGCGCGATTGCGTGAAAGGGTCTGCCGTCCTGGGTCTGTGTGCGAGTGGCATGTGTGTGGGGTGCGTGCGCGTGCGTGCGTGCGCGTGCGTGCGGGCGTGCGTGCGTGCGTGCGTGCGTACGTGCGCGTGCGTGCGTACGTGCGCGTGCGCGTGCGTGCGTGCGTACGTGCGCGTGCGCGTGCGTGCGTGCGTGCGCGGTCGCGTGTGCGTGCGCGTACGCGTGCGTGCGTGCGTGCGTGTGTGCGTGCGTGCGCTTGCGTGTGTGCATGCGTGCGTGCGTGCGTGCGCGTGCGTGCGTGCGTGCGGGTGTGCACGTGTATGTATTCACATGTCATTATGCCACATCCTGGTGCCATCTTCAAGACAAGAGACACAACACGCATCTTTTTACTCAGACACCTGACACCTGTTTTTTCCCTCCCCTTCCGTCTCTCCCCTCCCCTTTTCTCCCCTTCCCTCTCTCCCCTTCCCTCTCTCCCTCCCCCCTCCCTCTCTCCCCTTCCCCCTCTCCTCCTCCCGCCCGGAGCTGTTTCTCAGGTCGGCCCATCCACTGCATCAGCAGCTCGCTCCTATCCCACCCCTCCACCAACCCATTCCCCTCCCCTGCTGCCGCACACGCTGACCTCAGCTCGGATGCTCATACTTTTCCCACTTCTCCCACACCTCCTCTCCTCGGACTCCCACCCTCCAGCACCCGCCACCCCTCTTTCGCCCCCTTCTCATTCCGTCTGGAAACATTCCAAGAACCTTCTCCATGTTCCTTGTGCTGTGATTGCTCCCCCCTCCCCCTCCCCCTCCTCTCCCTGTTAACTCATCCTCCCCCCCTTCCCCACCCACTTTCCTCACGCCCGCAGCAAGGCTTGCTTGCCAACCAGCCCTCGCCATGCGCTGACCCTGCTAGCTGTCCTGCCCGAAGCTGAGGTGTATGTAAGCAGGGGAAGGTGAGGAGGGTGTGGGTGTGGGCTATGGTGAGAGAGGGGAGGGGGAGGTGGGGAGGTTGAGTGCTGTGGTGGCGGCCATGAGTGTGGAGAGCCCTTTCCTTCTCCATCTTCCCTTTCCTTCTCGCCCTTCTTCTTTCCCATCTCCCCTCCCTTCCCGTCCATCACCCCTCCTCTCTCCATAGCGCATCTCTCGCTTAGGCCATACGCCTGCCCTCTCATCCCACCTCCCCGTCTCCTCATCCCACCTCCCCGTCTCCTCATCCCACCTCCCCATCTTCTCAACCCACCTCCCTATCTTCTCATCCCACCTCCCCATCTCCTCATCCCACCTCCCCATCTCCTCATCTCACCTCCCCATCTCCTCATCCCACCTCCCCATCTCCTCATCTCACCTCCCCATCTTCTCATCCCACCTCCCCATCTCCTCATCCCCTCTTCCCTTCTCGAGGTCCCGGGTTCCCATGACAGCTCCCTCCCTCCTCATCTCGCCCACCTCATTTCCTCTCTTCCTCAGTGTGCATTATAATTATCGGCCATACCTCCTCATCTCATCTCCCCTTCATGCCTCCTACCACCCTTCCCTGCCATCCCATCCCTCCTTCATGCCTATGGCGTGGGCTATGGCGACTGCCAGAATCAGAGAGAGGGGTGGGGGTGTGGGAGGGGGAGGTGGGGAGGTTGAGTGCTGTGGTGGCGGCCATGAGTGTGGAGCGCCCTTTCCTTCTCCATCTTCCCTCTTTTCTTCTCATGTCCCTTACTATGCTGTCGCTTCCTTCACATCTAAACTGCCTATTTTCTCATCCTTGGAGCCTTCCTTCCGTCACCCCTCCCTTTGTTCCAGTTACAAGCAGGACTAAGCTAGTCCCAGGCGAGCCTGGCGGAACGGAAGAGACAGGCAAGCAGCAGATGCACGGCCAGATGCACGAAGGCGAGACCGGTGCTAGAGGAAAGTTGTACCCCGTATCTTCAAGATATTACACTAGTGTATACATTCAATAAGTTCTTTACGTCAGTGCTCTGCTCAATTGCTACTTCAAGAATGGTTGCTGTGAAGCAATCTAAGTATCAAGTATCAAGAGTAGCATGCTATGAAAGACAAGAGACTAGGAGAGTTTGGCAAGCCTACTTTGCCAACAACTGAGTTTTAACTCTACGCATTAGTCACAAAACTAGGGATGAACTTGTTCTTTGTGGCGCCATGCTGGAACAAGCACATCAACAGGGGGGAGAAAGGGGGGAAGCAGAGGGGAGACAAGTGGGAAAACAGAGGTGAGGCTTGGGAGGAAAGCGAGGTGAGGCATGGGAGGAAAGCGAGGTTAGGCATGGGAGGACAGCGAGGTTAGGCATGGGAGGAAGGGAGGAAGTGATTGTTTGGCGGAATAGTTTGTGACAGCAGAGGGGGAAGGGAGGTGACAGCAGAGGGGGAAGGGAGGTGACAGCAGAGGGGGAAGGGAGGTGACAGTAGAGGGGGAAGGGAGGTGACAGCAGAGGGGGAAGGGAGGTGACAGCAGAGGGGGAAGCAAAGGGGGATGAGGAAAGGGAAGGGGGATGGGGGAAGGGAATGGGGATGGGGTAAGGGAAGGAGGATGGGTAAAAGGAAAGGAGGATGCGGGGAAGCGATGGGGGGTGAGGAAAGCGAAAGGGGAAGACATGGGAGGGGAAAGGGGGATACGGGGAAGGGATGGGGGATGAGGGATGGGGAGATGAGGGATGGGGGGACGAGGCATGGGGAGATGAGGGATGGGGAGATGAGGGATGGGGAGGTGAGGCATGGGGAGGTGAGGGATGGGGCGGAGAGGGATTGGGAGGTGAGGGATAAGGAGAGGAGGGATGGGGAGAAGCGGGATGGGGAGAATGGGGATGGGTAGAGGAGGGATGGGGTGTAGAGGGATTGGGAGGTGAGGGTTAAGGAGATGAAAAATGGGGAGGGGAGGCATGGGGAGAAGAGGGATGGTCAGATGAGGGATGGGGACATGAGGGACGGGGAGGTGAGGGATGGGGAGATGTGGGATGGGGCGGAGAGGGATGGGGGGATGAGGGATGGGGAGATGAGGGATGGGGGGACGAGGCATGGGGAGATGAGGGATGGGGAGTTGAGGGATTGGGAGATGAGGGATGGGGAGATGAGGGATGGGGCGGAGAGGGATTGGGAGGTGAGGGATGGGGCGGAGAGGGATTGGGAGGTGAGGGATAAGGAGAGGAGGGATGGGGAGAATGGGGATGGGTAGAGGAGGGATGGGGTGTAGAGGGATTGGGAGGTGAGGGTTAAGGAGATGAAAAATGGGGAGGGGAGGCACGGGGAGAAGAGGGATGGTAAGATGAGGGATGGGGACATGAGGGACGGGGAGAAGAGGGATGGGGAGATGTGGGATGGGGCGGAGAGGGATGGGGGGATGAGGGATGGGGAGATGAGGGATGGGGGGACGAGGCATGGGGAGATGAGGGATGGGGAGATGAGGGATGGGGAGGTGAGGCGTGGGGAGGTGAGGGATGGGGAGGTGAGGGATGGTAAGGTGAGGGATGGGGATGCGAGGCATGGGGAGATGAGGGATGGGGAGATGAGGGATGGGGAGATGAGGAATGGGGGGACGAGGCATGGGGAGGTGAGGGATGGGGAGAAGAGGGACGGGGAGGTGAAGGATGGGGATAAGAGGGATGAGGAGGAGAGGGATGGGTGTACACGACGGAAGGGGAGTTAGCGTGGGCGACGGGAGGGGAGTTCGCGTGGGCGACGGAAGGGGAAACGCGCATGGGCGACGGAAGGGGGGATTGCGTGGGCGACGGGAGGGGAGTTCGCATGGGCGACGGAAGGGGAAACGCGCATGGGCGACGGAAGGGGAAACGCGCATGGGCGACGGAAGGGGAAACGCGCATCTCGACGGAAAGGGGAAACGCGCATGGGCGACGGAAGGGGGGCTTGCATGGGCGACGGAAGGGGAAACGCGCGTGGGCGATGGATGGGGAGTTAGCGTGAGCGACTGGAGGGGAGTTCGCATGGGCGACGGAAGGGGAAACGCGCGTGGGCGATGGATGGGGAGTTAGCGTGGGCGACGGGAGGGGAGTTCGCATGGGCGACGGAAGGGGAAACGCGCATGGCCGACGGAAGGGGAAACGCGCATGGGCGACGGAAGGGGGGATTGCATGGGCGACGGAAGGGGAAACGCGCGTGGGCGATGGATGGGGAGTTCCCCCACGCGACGTGAGGGGAGTGAGCGTGGCGGCGGTAGGGGAGCTAGCGAAGGTGACGGGAGGGGAGTGAGCGTGGCGGCGGTAGGGGAGTGAGCGAAGGCGACGGGAGGGGAGTGAGCGTGGAATCGGTAGGGGAGTGAGCGAAGGCGACGGGAGGGGAGTGAGCGTGGGTGACAAGAGGGGAGTACGCGTGGGCGACGGAAAGGGAAATGCGGACGAGTCGCAGGGGAAATGCGAGTGACGGGAAGGGAATATGTGCTCTGGGGGACTTGAAAATGCCTGCGATACGGGAAATGCTAAATGCGGGCTTCGGAAATCGTAACCGCGCGCTACTGATACCTAAAATCACCCACTCCGGTCACTATCAATGCCCTCCCTGCCGCGTCGCCTCCAAGGTGGGGAGTAATCTAATGTCAATGTCATGGATGGAGATATGCGGGGGACCTCATACGTCCTAAGGCATTTGCGCTTACTGGTGGGTACTCGGGTCGACCCTCTCTCTTGATTATCTTCTTTGGCACGAGGGACGTTGCCTGTCTTGGTCGCTGTGCGTTGTACTAGTAGGAGAACAATTAGTGTAGCCGCTAATCAGGTGGTCAAGCGTGGGATGTTTGTCTAGTTCTGCTTGGGATGTTTATCTCAGGTTGTGATAACTTGTCTCAAATTTCATGGGAGCTCAGTAATATGCTTGGTTTGCCTGTGGATGAAGTGTGCTGTGTGTTTTGGTGTCGCACGGAACCACCAACACGTCGTTGACCATCGTGTGGTGCATTTTCAGTCGCCTGCAGTGGTCGTGGAGGACAGGTTGGGTTTGGCAGCAGGGGTAGCAACACTGTAGCTCGACAATTTGCACGTTCCCAACCACCCCCAAACCTGTATAGTGCGAAGGTGCTGTTTGGCGACAAGAGGCAGGGTTACTGGATATCAAGCATATTACACTTGGATGGGTGTTGTGAAATATGAGACGCGGGCTTTAAGACTTCAAGTGGACCCAACTAGAAGGGGGGGGTCATTATTTTAGCTGCGGGCTTTAAGTTAGCTCTTTACGCAACAAGACCGCACAAGTTCAACAATATAGCTGACACTACACAACCTTGCACCTCTTGTTGCAAGCAAGCTACCATATTTATTCATCGGGAAGTGTTGGGGGCACAGGGAAATAGGCACATAGACAAAGCGGATGTGTGTTGGTGAAGGGTGCCCACTGCCCCGTGAGGGATGGCTGAATCAGGTGATGCATCACTGTGGCGCCATGCACCTCTTTAGCACTACACTTTATGCACAACCAAAGCAGACTCGACTACACTATATGTGCTGACTGAACCACTCTAGAGGCTAGGCTGCACAACCAATGCCAGGAAAAAGTATCCCGTGCCGTGCACAAGATATCAGCAGGCCTTTGAGGAGCCTGAAAACGTTTTGGTGATGTGTACGCACCAGCGACCAGTGGAAAAACTCGGCACTGAGAAACTTAGTGCACTCTGGGAAAGTGCAAGGAAAGTGCAGTCAAGTGACGGTTGAATCGACTGAAGCCGAGCCACGTGCTGTCTCCTCCACTGCAGATCTCGGTGTTTCCAGTGACTTTCAAGTCAACCCATAAGTCGCCCTGAATGCTGCCTTGGCTCCAGAGCTGGGTTTCTCCAGTCACGGTTAAATCGACTCAGGAGTCACCCTGTATGCACCTGCAGCCGAGCCACATGCTGTCTCCTCCACTGCGATCTTAGTTTCTCCAGCGCGTTTCGAGACAACCCAAGAGCCGTAATGAATGCTCCCTTTGAAGCAGCGCTGGTGTGTCCGGAGAGGGTTAAATCGACCCAAAAGTCACCCTAGACGCGCCTGCGCCTGCAGCCGAGCCACATGCTGTCTCCTCCACTGCAGATCTTGATGTCTTGACGGCTGCATTTCCTGAATTCTCCAGGACTTCAATTCGGGCCTGCACGTATAGAAAAAACACCAGAAGACAGAAAATATGTCAGAAAAAAGCTCCTTATAGGCATCAAAGACTACTCTGGAAGCCCCCCCCTCAGCGGTTGTTTGAGCCTTAACCAGCAGTGGCAGATGGCTGGCACACAGATACATACGTGTCAGTCACATTTAGTAACAGGACTAACAATCATTTACACGAATTATAAAACCACCACTACAAGCATTAGAAACTGTGAGTGTACCTGCAGGTCATTTATGTGAGTGAATGCAGACTCCACCATTGCGGCTGTATCGAGTTGTGCTCTTGCGAGAGATGGGGGTAATGCTCGATGTAACAGCTCCAGGCCTCTCCTGATACAATCACAGTCGATAGAAGCACCGGATTATGAGAAGGTCAGAGATTCGGTTTCAGGTTTCATCCAGGTCTCCCATATGACTCAGGGGGGAAGACGACAGCAGCAAGAGCTAAACAAGGAAAGGGCGAAGGGGGAAAAGAAGAGAATGGGTACCGTAGTGAAAGAGAAGAGGGGGAAGGGAATGGAGTAGGGGTGGGTGGGTGGATGGGGAGGGGAGGGACAGGGGGAGGGACAGGAGGAGGGAGAGGGACAGGGGGGGGAAGGTTAGAGAGGGAGGGAGGGAGGGAGGGAGGGAGGGAGGGAGGGAGGGAGGGAGGGAGGGAGGGAGGGAGGGAGGGAGGGAGGGAGGGAGAAGATAGACGGGGAGCTGACGCTGCAAGAAGAGGGGGCAAGTCAAGTCACCTGATGCGATCACGCCGGTGCCTCTCCTTCATGCTCCTCGCCTGTATACATCCCAGCCCCACCGCTTGCCCATCCAACAGGGCTCGAATGCGCGGCCGCCAATCCTGCGGGGGTATTTTTCGTGCCTGAGAAGGCGATGTTTCTGGTGCCTTGAAGGGCGATCCCTTTGATGACTTAAAAGGCGATTGCTGTGGCGCCTCAAAAAGGGAATTTTGCTTCGCGTCAAGTATGCGATGCCGCCAGTCCTCCTCTCTCCACCTCTCCTCCTCTCTCCACCTCTCCTCCTCCAGCTTTGCCTGTCTCACGCTCCCGTTTTCGTCTCTCACTCTCCTCAGTTCCGACCTCCGCGGGACATCCCCCAATCCAACCAGGGGCGTCCACGTGGCAGGAGGCTCTTGCTTCGTCAAGGCGTGTCCTGTTTCCCTCCCGTGGCAAGCACCGCGAGTGGCGGATGGTGAGAAGGGAGCACCAGGAGCAGCGGGCATGCAGGAAACACCAGTAGTGGTGGGCAAGAAGAGAGACCTCTTAGATGTTCCAAAAGGCTGCCGTCCTGTCAAGGCATGCCCTCTTTTGCCCTCCGAACAAGCACCAGCAGAAGCGAGCGAACAGGAAGCAGCAGGAGCAGCGGGTGAACAGGAAGAACCCGCTGCTGCGGGTGTGTAGTGAACGCCACAAGTGCTGGGCGAGAAAAAAGAAGTGGGCGGGTAGGCAGCAGCAGCCGCCGCAGAAAGAGCATTAGCCTCAGAAAAAAGTGCAGCAGCATCGGCAGCAGCAACAACAGCGCCGGCAGCAGCAGGAGGGGTTGTTGGGGAGGCTGAAAGTGAAGCATTCTCAGGAGTGTTGAGGCTGCCTGGGCCAGTAAGCTCGCCTGCAGATGCAATCTGCATGCTGGCGCTGCCTTGCCCCTCCTGCCATGCCTGCTCCTCCCATGCCTGCTCCTCCCATGCCTGCTCCTCCCATGCCTGCTTCTGACATGCCCCCTCCTGCAATGCGCATTTCTCAGGCACTTCAAACGAAGGTTCCTGCATCCCTCCCTCCGGCAACATCCCCCGCTGCATCATCCCTCCTTCCAGCATCATTCCCTCCTGCAGCATCATTCCCTGCATCCCCCCCAGCAAACTTTCAGAACTCCCTTGCAGAGTTGGTGACCCCGCCGCCTCAACTTGCTCCTGCATCTGCATCTGCGCAAACCGAGCAGCACGTGCAGATTTCTGGATCAGATCGGGCGGCAGAGTCAGCCCTGCCAGCTCAGCCTGTGCCACCCAGCTGGTTGTCGCCACTCGCTGCTGCAGGACCAAAGAGGCCGATGCTGCTGCATCTTGGTCGATGGTAGAGATACCTCCAGAGCCTGTGGCGACCATGCTCGTTCTTCTGGTTGTCGCCACGTGCTGCTGATGCACCAAAGAGGCCGATGCTGCTGCATCTTGGTCGATGGTAGAGATACCTCCAGAGCCTGTGGCGACCATGCTCGTTCTTCTGGTTGTCGCCACGTGCTGCTGATGCACCAAAGAGGCCGATGCTGCTGCATCTTGGTCGATGGTAGAGATACCTCCAGAGCCTGTGGCGACCATGCTCGTTCTTCTGGTTGTCGCCACGTGCTGCTGATGCACCAAAGAGGCCGATGCTGCTGCATCTTGGTCGATGGTAGAGATACCTCCGGAGCCTGTGACGACCATGCTCGCTCTTCTGGTTGCTGCACCTTCATCATTGGTGGTGTTCACATCACCAATCACCATGCTCTCTGTTGCGTAGGCGCCCAAAGCATGTGCGATCCAGCTCTCCACTGCCACTTGCTGCTGCTGCTGCTGCTGCTGCTGCTGCTGCTGCTGTTGCTGTCGCTGCTGCTGCCGCTGCTCCTCTTCAAAAAGCTCAACGATGGCTCTCTCCAAAGAGGGGACTTTAGAAGAATCCTTTGAAGCATGATTTGAACGAGATGGAAGGGCCGCGGACTCGTGAGAATGCACTGGCAAGCGAGGCGGATACATATCGGGTGCTGAAGTGGCACCTTCAAGTCGCTTATGGCGCCTCAAGAGACCACTCTCCTCCTGATTCGGGATTCGAGGGTTTCCAATAAGCGGACGAGGCTGGCCGTACATTAAGGGCGGCGCAATGATGGGGTTCTCAAGTCGCCCGTGGCGCCTCAGTAGCTCCTCCAAGAGACCACTCTCCTCCTGACTCGATATCTGCGTGTCGAAAATGCTCGTCGATACCTGAGGCTGGCACATGCTTGCTTCAACGGTAGCGTCGAGAATGCACGTGGATTTCTGAGGCTGGTGCATCATGCTGGCGTCCATGTTGCCACCAGTGGGGTCTTGTCCCTGCCGCCCAAATACCGACGTCGTTGAAATGCCTTCTCCAAGATACTTGATCTCGCCTGCTCCACAACTCGAGTGTGAGGAAGATACATATCCGCATTTGCTTTTGCTAGGTGCCTCAAACAGAATGGCTCCAATGCCTGGGTCCTCGTTATGATGCTCCAACAACTCCCTCAAGCCGCCGCCTTCCCCCAGCACCTTGATTTCTCCTCCCTCGGAACTCAATATTGAAGGTCCATGTGTCTCAGAAAGGGCTCGCATGCCAGGATCCTCGCCATAACGACGCTTCAACAACTCCTCCATGCGGCCTTCCCCCAGCATCTTGGTTTCTCCTGATTCAGATATCCATGCTGAGGGTCCATATCCGGCAAATGTGACTTTGCTGCGCGCCTCAAAGAGGGCTCGCATGCTAGGGTCCTCGTTATGGCGCTCCAACAACTCCCCCGAAGGGTCAGTTGCTTCAAGCTGATCCAGAACGCGACCTTGTTGGTCCATCTCTGCAGACCCGGGCTCTACTACTCGCTGCGTCTCTGGCTTGCTGAGGAGGCTTCGCCTGAAGGTTACAGAGCGGAATTTCTACTTAAAGACGTGCGACTCGCGAAACAAGGCCGGCCGAATGGAAGACTGGATCAAAGAAGCGGAATCGGTGGTGCGGAAAGGGAAATGGTGAATGGGTACCCTCAAACCCTCCCACTTCCTCAGCTTATATCCTACGTGGGTGGTAAGCCCAGTGCCGCACCCAGCCGCTAGGATGCAAAGGAGATAAGCGAGGGGGCACGGGGACTTCCAATAATCATCTCGCGTGAAAAGAGTGCCCATGGAAACACGGGAATGTAAAACAAGCTCCACCGCCGCGAGTCTAGCCTTCGCTGTCGCGAGGCGGCTCCACAGTCCAACTTGGAGCGTCGTTTTAATGTGAGTCTAATTTTTTGAGTCGCAACTTTGCAGTCCTTGATCTCAGATCGACGATTTGATCGTCGCTTGTTTTTCGAGGCGCCTTCAGAAATAAGTCTAGCAACTTCTGTCGCGGCGAGGCTGCACGCTTATCTATCGAATGAACAACGAAGAATCCCCAGTTTGACATGCCACATCGAACCAAAAAATTGGCGTCGAGCGACAATGCGCATAGTCTCTGACGCGAAGGCATCTGGGGGACGAAAATATTGGAATATGTCCTCCGCGTTTCTCATTCGCCCTGCTAGTGCGTGAGCTGGAAACACGTGAGCGCGGGTGTCACAACGATGAAGAGTGCACGGGAGCATGATAACGGTTGGCAAGTACAACTGGCAGGATGTCACGGGATTCGACGGGGGAAATCGGAGGGCCGAAAGGCAGCTTATCAGATGTCTACACGTGTGACTATGGCTAACAAACATCCAGCGCATCTGTTGCTGCTGTGCTGCTCTTGCTCCCTCCTTTTCCTGCTCCTCCTGCGCCTTCCAGCCGCCTTGTTTGATAGTGGCTTATCCCTGGTAACCTCTATGTCACGGTGCCCCTTCCTCCCCCCATCCATGCATGCGCTGGCGGTATCACTTGCTGGTGGATTTTTTATCTCCAAAGAATGACAGCGAGGAGAAGGGATCGGGGCGGCGCTGCCTGCCATTCTCGTCACTTCACCAGTGAGGTGAGGAGAAGTCACACTCGCGGCGTTCGACAAGAGTGAACGAGCATGAGGTGGTCTGGGCGGCAAGGAGGAGGAAAATCTTAGTTTGACAGCTCTCAGCTCTTGTCGCCGTGTCCTCAGTCGAGATATCGATACGTTACCGCTAACTCTGTTCAGTCAAAGCACCGCTAACGTACAACAGATCACCGACCAGCCGCGTACGACTGAGGGACGTCGTGAGCCATAGTAACCCATCTTACTCCTTCCGGGCCGAAATGGCAATCTCCTCTACTCGAAGGGATTATCGTGTTCGGGTCATATTTCCTAAGCCTTAAGTTGAACGCGAGAATAGTGAAGTAGATTAATTATTTGGTACGGGAATGGGGAGGGGTTCGAGAAACTCAAGCTAGCTCTGGTCTGAACTTGCAACAGAAGGTGTATGATGTACGGAACTGTAATAGAAGAGGTCACCGCCATGACAGCCTGATGCGCAGTAAATGACAGCTGCGACAGTCACAAAATTTCATGCTGGTTTTGAGCAAGAGATCATGCCAGGAAGACTAAGGGCGCGTTCCTGGCTCGTGTCAAGCTTCCGGTCTTCCCGGGAAGACCCGAAGGTTTAGGTCAAACTTCCTGTCAAACTTCGAGTCTTCCGAAAACAGAGGCAAAATTTAGCGGGAAGACCCGAAGTTGGTCTCGGATGACCAGAAGTGGGGCCAGCTTCGTGTCATCCCGGGAAGACCGGAAGTTTGACACGAGCCAGGAACGCACCCTAAAGGCAGCTGGCAGGAGATCCCTCAAGAGGTCTGATTGGAGAAAGCTTTGGCAAGTTTGGTGGGTGGTCGTTTTTGCGGAGAGGTTCACGTGACAAGCACAGGGTGACGTCATCAGAGCATCAAACTTGTGGACGACGATGGGTTTTGGCGGGGAACGGGGGGACGCTCGGAGTAGACGTATGTACTGTACACGTAGTACATGCGGGAGGAGAAGAAGTGGGCCAAGTACGTGCGTGGGATTCACACAATGCTGGGGACCAACGTCGAAACGGGTGGCGAAGAGACAAGTCGCATGTCACAGGTGGCTTCCGGCTTTGTCGAAGGGCTCTCCAAAAGGCAGCCAAATTGCCGCACGTGGTGGTGAAAGGACAAAGGCGAGTTACTGGTGGCCTGCAACCTCGTCCAAGGGTTGTGCTCATTCCCGAGTGTAATACCAAATCCGTCGAACTTGCCTCAATTGGGTATCCCTGTCGTGTGTTCGATTCTCGCTCATTTCGTCAGTATTTCGTTAACCAGCTCTGTTCGGGAGTGTGAATAATTCGAGCCATCCCTTTAGGGAGCTGGCGATTAGTGTAGACGTGGAGATACAGGCGTGCAGACATCATTAATATACGTGCTGGTAAGCACAAGTACTATATCATAAAACAAAACCACAGCCTTACAGAAACTAGCATGAAACATCTCCACCAAGCACGAGAAACCCTAATAGTCATGGTTGCATTCTGTCTACAATCTCTTCAATCGCGGCACCTCTTTCGAGCTTGCTCACTCGTGCCTGCACAAAGCAGAACAGACATTTAATCAGCATTTCTATATTCAAGAAAGTTAGTGGTACATATATGCCTGTAGGAAGCTACGGTGGCGCCTCATACCTGTAGATTGCTTATGTGTAGCACTGCTGCTTCGATCATAGCGCCCATGTCTTGTTGTGCGCCCAGCAGACTTTCTGGTATGGCTTGCCTTAGCTGCCTCAAACCCTCGCTGAAATAGAAGGAAACGGGAACATGTGGCACACGGGAAACATCATGTTATGTACAGGCTAACCGACTTGAGATGGTTAAACAGCTTCACATGCAACAAGTAGAATAAACCAGCTGACACCACTACTTTACACCCCTCCCTGATTACCCTCTGGATCCCTCACACATGTACCAACCACCATAAAACTCACCTGATCTTGTCTCTCCGCCGTCTCTCCTTCATGCTCCGTGGCTTAATCTCCCCTTTCCGCATCGCCTCGGCGTCAAACCGAGTTCGACTGCGCGGCCGCCAGTCGTCCTCCACCGACAATCCAGCCGACAAACCCGCCCCGCCTCCCGACAACGCTGCTGACGTGGCAGGCCCCGCACCTCCTCGGCCTTCGGAAATCGCCGGGGCTTTCACTCCTGGCGCCCGCACTTCCCCTCCTGCACCTGATCCGCCCACGCGGGGTGAGTCCAGCGCCTGCGTGCTTCCATCCCCACTGCCTCTCGCCTCACCAGGCGCACCACCTGCTCCTGCCCGCGGCGACCTAACACCTGCTTGGCTCGGCTGACTCGCTCCGCGTGGAGACCGCACGGCGGGTTGGCTTGGCCGGCTCCCGATCAGCAGTGCACCTGACGCGTCCGCCCCACGCATGCCTATCAGCGCCTGGGGAACGCCGGAAAGTGAAGGAGAAACAGCAGCAGCAGTGTTAACACGCGCAGGAGCAGAACCTGAAGCAGGAGCAGCACGAGTAGCCGTGATATCTGTCTTGACGTCTTCCAAGCCGTCGAAACCCGTGAATGCACCATCATTCGCGAGCATAGCAGCGTCGGAGGCGGAGAGTATGGACGGGCCGGGTGCTAGCACTCCTGGTAACACTAAACCGCCTTGCCGCATCTTGTGCAGCATTTCCAAAGCGAGCTTGCTGCTGGCGCAATTGGTTGGCGCGAGGGCGCCGGACCCGGCGGCGGAGGGGGCGGCGAGCAGCGAACCCTTCTGAGACGCCGCGGCGGCGCCGCCTGACGCGCCGCGCCTGTGGGTCGGGGGATAGCGCGGGGAAAGTCCGCCCGTCGGGGAGTTTGGGGGGATCATGAAACCCCCGCTGAAGCGAGAGTCGCCTGGGACAGCCTCCCGCTCCGCCTGAGTCGCTGTTGTAACCGTGACGTCCCCAGTCGGGATCGTGCTCGGAGCATGATAGTTGCGGCTCGCGTCGCCGACACGACTCCAAGTCGCGTAGCGCCGTTGGTTGGTGAGATCTGATGCGCTCCCAACGGCCGATAAGCGCGGAGATTCCGCGTCCGACGGCGCGGAAAGTCCGTTCCGCGCGGTGGGGCCAGGGGTCGCCATTGGAAGATTTTGCGCGAAGGAATTTCGCGAAGCCAGTGCGAGGGAACTCACGCCGCCAGGTCTGGTTACCACCGCGTCGTGAAGGTCCGCGTCGAAAGGCGGCGTGGAGAGCATCTGTAGCTGAGCGAACAACGCGGCGTCCGCAGACTGTTGGAGCAAATCGAGAGGAATCTGCAAGCCTGGCGCCAGCGCCGCGCCAGCAAGGTCGCCGTCTGCCGCGCCGCTAACCTCTTCCAGCGCGCGCAGCCATTGCTCCACATCCGCCGCAGATGCAGTCTCCGCGGTGAATCGCGCCGCCGGCCCGGCGCCGTCCAGCTGTGGCTGCTCCCGCCGCGCGTCATGCGGAGCGGCAAATGCGGTGGAAGCATCCGCGGCGCGATTATCGACGGCGTCACATTCTCCGCGGCCGCCACCTCTTTGAAGCGCTGCGCCGGCTGCGGCCGGAAAATGCCGAACTGCGTCGCGATCGCGATCCCCGGGCACCATAACGGCTAGAGCGAAATTTATAGAGTGGTCCGCGTGTTCAACGGCAGTTCTATGGAACGAGGAGTCGCCGTCGAAAGCGGGCGCTCCACAAATTGCGACGAGAGAGTCGTTTAGGGTGGAATCCTGCTCTATCAGTTGTGCTTCGGGATTATTTTCTCCTAGCGCGACTCGGCCGCACGTGTAATCAGAGGCCGAAAGGATGTTATTTCTGGAGCCAGTGGACTGCGCGAATAAAGCGAGGCTTTCGTCTAGCAGCAGCGACGCGGGGGAGTAATCGAGATGTTCTGAGTCGAGCAGCAAATTCGCGGCTTCGTGAAACGAAAAGTCAGCGCTCGGCTGCTGAAGTTGTTCCTGCCGCGGCTGCTGCTGGTGATGCTCGTGTGGTTGGGACATCGGAGGGAGGAAGGAAATGTAAAGTGGAGCCGAAAGGAAAAGGACAGAATGGGAATGTGAACAGGTGGGAGACTGGGAGTCTGGGAGTTTGGCAAAGTCGGTGGGGCAATCGGGCCAGCAGAGAGGACAGAGTGACGGAAGTGATGTTGGTTTTGGGTGGGTAACTTTGGCCGAAAGCAGGTTTGCTATTTGAAGATTCAGAGTGAAACGGAACGAGGCGAGACGGGGCTCGTGGTGGTTCCGTGTGTGGTGATCGTGTGGACCCTAGTTCAAGAAAACAAGGACTGGTTCACTCGGTGAAAAGCTGGTGGAAAAAGAGATTGAATTTCAGGGATGCGGACGATCGGTCCCTCACAGCTGTAATGCTGCTGGCGGTGAGAGAAAATCAGCTGTTCCAAGTGGAACTTCAATATGACAGGGATGGCGAAGCGAGGAGTGAAAAAGGGACAGTAGGCAGGCAAAATGCGCGTGATGGCGTACGGCTGGGTCGTGTGGATTGAGTCGAAATTTCAGAAACTGCCAGGAGGAAAGATCGGACAAGGGGGGAAATGTTGCACCCAAGACAAACACAATGCTGCAAGTACAGTTGATCGTCAAGGGTTCAATCCGAGGGCGAACCCAGGTTATGAAGTAACCCGTTCGCGATGTAGGCTCCGCAGTTCGTCGCTATGACAAGGGCACGTAGCGAATCTTGCGCATCTCTAAGACTTCTCTCGCAGAATCTTGTAACTTGATTCTGCGAGTGATTCCATAACTTGATAATCTTTCGTGCCTGGGTGTAACAGTCTGTAGAGTCCTTCGTCTTCGAGCTCTGCGACAAGAGGAAAGTGAAGTCGCTGTTCGTTCCACAGAGTTTGCTGATCTGACGAATCTGATTCCCCTGGTCCAAGGCATCGGATTCGATTGAACCAGCAAATAACAGCCAATCAACAGGTGGATGGATCATGCGCGTCACGATGACGGTTCAAGTCTACAGTACAGAGCCCCTCCGCGCGTGAAAACGTTGTCGTCGTCTCGCTGTAGGCACTCGTGCTGCAAGGAAGCTGCAAGTGAGCGAGCAGGATTTGATTAGAGTTCTCACGTAGGGCGGGCACAGGTCGTGGAATATTCTCACTTGCACTTGGTGACGATTGATGAGTTTTCCCAAAACCGAGTCAAACGCCTGTAATGAAGCCAGGCATTTCACAATGACCTTACGATTGAGATAAAAGCTGTATTGTTGTTGTTGTCCTACTCTCAGCTAAGTCACTTCGACACGACTTGAGGTTTCAGTCTTTGAGATACATGTCGATGCGTGAATCGTGGTCATCATCATTGTCTGCATCTTCCTCATTTTCAGAGCTGTCTTCCATGTCTTCTACCATTTCCCCTTCCATTTCCTCCGCCTTCACATCCCGAAGCCCACTCCCAGGCGTCTCACGTCCACTCACAGTTTCCTTCTTCTGGGACCCTCTTTCCCCTCTATCCCCATCCTCGTCTGCCTCTATTTCCTGGATGCGGGACTGGCATGGCACATGAGAAGATCGTGCAACGTAGGGAAACATGAAAAGGACAATCAGGCGGCGGGAAGACACACAAGTTTGTCAGCAAATGGGCTAATAACATTAGGAACACTAAAAGCAGCTGTCACTTTTGTTCGCAATGTACAATCGCAAAAGAATATAAGTGGAAGAAGCCACAAAGACGAGCCCAGCCCACCCCCACCCCAGCAAAGCGCACCCCACCCCAGCCCAGCCCAGCCCAGTAAAGCCCAGCCAAACCCAGCCCTGTAGCTTACCTCGAGATTGCCAATGTGGTGGATGGCTGCTTCAATCATCGACGCCATGTCCTGCCGTGGCCCCAGCAGCATGGCGGGGAGTGCTTGCCTCAGCTGCCGCAACCCATCGCTGGTCGTGAAGGGGGCGGGGGTGGCGGGGGTTTGGGAAAAGGTGGGGAGAAAAGGCACGAGTGAAAAGGAGAGGTGGGGAAGGAAGGGGGGAAAGGAGGGGCGAGAAAGGAGGGGCGATGGAACCATGGAATGTGTGACACTAGCCGCACGGCAGGAAATGCTAGGCTCAGTTGGCCCAGCCCATTGCTGGTCGTGCAAGCAGGGAAGGGGGTGGGGGAAAGGGGAGTGGAAATGGGGAAACGCAGCAGAAAGAGAGGAGGGAAAAGGAGAGGGGAAAAGGAAGGGTGTGGAAGGAACCATGGGATGTGTGTCACTGGCAGCACGGCGAGGTGCTTGCCCCAGGTGGCCCAGCCCATTGCTCGTGGAGCACGCGGGGAAGAAGGAGGAAGAATGGGGAGGGGGGAAGAGAAGGGCGACGGGGAGGGGGGGAGGGGGGGGAAGGGGGGGGCAGCAAGAAAGTGGTTTATCCTGCGCAATTCAAGCTCACCTGATCTTGTCTCGCCTTCGCCTCTCCTTCATGCTGCGCGGCTTGATCACGCCTCTTGCAATCGCCCCGGCGTCGCATCGGGTTCTCGTGCGCGGCCGCCACTCCACCTTCACATGCTCGGGCAACCCTTCATGCAACCCTTCAGGCAAGCCTTCATGCAACCCTTCAGGCAACCCTTCAGGCAAACCTTCAGGCAGGGCTAGGGGCATGGCTTGGGGAAAGCCTTCAGGAAATGATTCAGGCAGAGCTTCAGGCAGGGGTTGAGGTGGGTGCTGAGACGCGTCAGCAATACTTGCTAACGGCTTGCACTCTGCCTGCTCCGTATCTACTTCCCTCACACTCGCACTCTCCCTCACACTCGCACTCTCCCTCACTCCGAAACTCTCCCTCACTCGTGTACCCTCCCCCTGACCGCCAACCCCCCTCACACTGGCCTCCTCCTCTCCCCCTCCTCCCCTCATCCCCCCTTCTTCTTCTCCCCTCCTTCCTTCCTTGTTGCCCAATCCGGACCCATTCCCTCCGACCGTTGCTGGGGCTACCAAAGCAGCAGCAGCAGCAGCAGCAGATGCCATAGCACCACCAGCCGTCGCCGTCACGGCAGCAAGTGCGGTACCAGAAGCAGCAGCAGCCATGGAAGTAGAGGCAGCAGCAGTCCCAGCAGCAGCAGCACTGCTGCTGTCGGCACTAGTGGCCCTCTCCACGGCAGCAGCAGCAGCAGCAGCATCCTGGTGGCCGCGTCCCACAGCAGCGCCCACTGACGGGGCAGCTGCGTCCATTGATAGCGCAGCAGCATTCACCAAAGGAGCAGCAGCACTCACCAAAGGACCAGGAGCACTCACCAAAGGACCAGGAGCACCAGGCCTCGTACCGCTAGGCTTCACACTACCAGGAACCGCAATGGCAGATAAGGGAAAACTGGGTTGACTCATGTGGCCCTGATTCATGGGGCCCTGACTTATGGGGCCATGAGATCTGGAGGCGCCTAGAAGCGTCTGCTGAAGGAGCGCCAGAAGCACGCCTGGTGGAATCTGTTGTTGCTGTAACTGCTGTAGCTGCTGCTGCTGTTGCTGCTGCCTTTCTTTTTGTTGTTGCTGCTGCTGCTGCTGCAGCTTTTGTTGTTGCTGCTGCTGCTGCTGCTGCTGCTGCTGTTGCTGCTTCTGCTGCTGCTGCTGCTGCTGGTGTTGCTGCTGCTGGTAATGCTGCTGCTGCTGTTGCTGCTGCCTTTCTTGTAGTTGTTGTGATTGTTGTTGTTGCTGCTGCTGCTGCTGCTGCTGCTGCTGCTGCTGCTGCTGCTGCTGCTGCTGTGCCAGAAGCTCCAAAATCGCTAATTGCTCGGCGGAGGGACCGGCGCGACCAACCTCCTGGCGCAGCAACCACTCCTCCAAACCCGCCGGCACCGCCGCCGCCGCCGGTGCCGTCCCCTCGGGCCGCGGGAGATTACTAGGGTTTCGAGGCTGAAATGTATACGGTGGGTAGGGGGCAGCTTGGTGTTGCGGCTGTGGAAGTTGCGCTCCTTGCTGCTGCTGCTGCTGCTGAAAATATTGCTGTTGACTTTGCTGCTGTATTTGCTGCTGCTGTAACTGTTGTTGCTGCTCCTGCTGCTGCCGTTGCTGCCCCTGCTGCTGCCGTTGTTGCTCCTGCTGCTGCCGTTGCTGCTGCCGGAATAGATGCGTGGAGGCTCCAGATTGAGACGGATCATCGAGCCATGGGAATACCGGGAATGCAGCGGAATTATCGCATGGCGGGCGACAGTTCCCGTGCGGCTGCATTGTACCGACGAGACTGGGGACCGGCGCAAAGCAAATGTACACGCGAATTCGTAAATAATTGACGGATTGTCGTCGAAAGAGGGTGGGTAGAAGCTAATGATGTAGCCTCGCAATATGATGTGCAGCTTCTTCCGCGCAATACGAGCTCAGTCTTACCAATCTCTTCGTTTAAAAACCTCAATAAGGTTAACTAACCACGGTCATAAATCCCTGCATTTGCGGTCAACGAGGCGACAACCCCTCCGAAAGTAGGAGGAGAATGAGCTACTAAGGTGTTCCCTACTCCACCGCCGTCTTCCAAGGAACCATAAAGCGCGAAGGGTGCAGATGAGGCGTTTCCTTCTTTTCCTAACTCCTCCTGCTTACCAACCAACGAGGCTCTTCGGACCGTACCGCCCTTGCCTTCTGCGTGGAACGACGCTAGGGTGGTGGTAATCCCTAGGGACTACGGAAGCTTTGACCTAATTGGTTTGGCTTATTGATTTCGTTTCAAAGTAGGAGCCTTTTATGCATAATGCCTCCGTACAGTAATGCATCTCTTTTAGGTGTTTTTGCACATGTCCGCCACGGGTGTTCGTTGATGGCGTAATCGGAGACCGCACCTTTGCTATAAGCACCCTCACTAATTGTGTGAATATTGCGATTGTTACATGCTTACTTACTCGTCTCTTTAGAATATAACTGTTCACTCAGGGAATGTCCCGCAACCGCAACAAGCAGACTAGATGACTTCACAGGTGCAGGTTCATAGTATCGCACGAGCCATTCCGACGCACATAGACGAACCGCACGCGTGCGCAATTTCAGAACCTCCTTGGAAACTCGCTTCTGATTGGCGGGGAGAAGCAATTCCATAAGAATGCGTCGTACGATTTGTGAATGCGCACATCAAGCATGCACTGGATTCGTCCGCCCCAGAGGGAACCCCACTTCTATTTCCCATCCCAAATTCGCCCTTCCCCCTCCCCGAATCTGCCGCCCGAACCGACAGCTTCGTCACCAAGCATTTCATACAGTTACGACTGCGGATGTATCTATATTTGATAATATATTTACAGCCAAAAAAAAAAAAAAAAAAAAAACCAAGCATTTCATCCTAGAGAGGTTTCATTCAGAAGAAGAGCAATGCATCCTAGTCCGTGAGTCCACTCAAACTTACTATTTACTCGTCAGCCTTCGCTCGTGTGAGCACTCAATTGTGCAGTAACTAGCCTGCCTCTCTAACAGGCTATTCAACGTCGGTCGGTACGGACGTAATCGGAGGTGCTGCTGCTCAGTTCCCAGTCCGGCGCTGACGCTGACAACTATGGGTGGTGGGAGGTCCGGCGCTGACGGCGTGACAGCGGGTTCTTGCTGCGGCAAGGGCCCCGGATACGTATCCCCGCTAAAAGCCATGGAGGGGCCGCGCGAGAAGCTGCTGTACACGACGGGTATCTACACCGGGACGGGGGTCGAGAAGCCGGATTTCCTGGCAACAATAGACGTGGATCCGGAATCAGAGAGTTTTGGTCAAGTCATTCACCGGCTGTTCATGCCGCACCTCAACGACGAGCTCCATCACTCAGGTATGGCGTAAATCCTGAGAACGAATTAGATGGTCCGAGAAGTCTTTCGTTGCCGGCCATGCATGCATCCTTGATTTTGGTGTCGTATTCGGTGCTGCATAATCGCAATCTACGTGCAGTTGTCAATAGTTTTTTTTTCCGTTCTTACGCATTGTGCGTCGCAGGATGGAACGCGTGCAGCTCGTGCGTCAACGATCCCACCAAGTCCCGCAAATACCTCGTCCTACCAGCTCTGCAGTACGTGTGTCTCTTTTGAATTGTGGTATTCAATCTAACCAGTGCGCCTCTGAAATCGTCTCTCCCCCGGCATGTCTGAAGAACCAGTTATTCGCGACGAAGCTCACACCTCACCTATTTTACTTACAATTGTTCCCTAAAATCCGCAGGTCGAGCCGCGTCTACGCCGTAGATGTCGCGACCAATCCTCGCGCGCCGTCTCTCCACAAGGTCGTGCAGGGCGAAGATATCGCCGCCAAAACCGGGCTGGCGTATCTCCATACCTCGCACTGCTTGGGCTCTGGAGAAATCTTAATCTCCGCTTTAGGCGACCCGGAGGGTAACGCTGGCGACACGGGGTTCTTGGTACTCAGCGAGGATTTCGAAATCAAGGGACGGTGGCAGAAGGAAGGCGGTGCGAAGCTTCCGTTTCACTATGACTACTGGTACCAGCCGCGACATAACGTGCTCGTTAGTAGCTCCTGGGGCGCGCCGAAGCGGTTCACCAAGGGATTCGATCCGGGACACGTGGCGGAGGATTACGGGCGGCACTTGTACTTCTGGGATTGGACGACGCATGAGCTTACTCAGACTGTCGATCTGGGGAATGAGGGGCTAATTCCTCTGGAGATTCGATTTCTGCACGATCCGGATAAGGCGGTTGGATTCGTGGGGGCTGCGCTCAGCAGCAATATCATTCGGATCAACAAGGACGAGGCGGGAAAGTGGAGCACAGATGTAAGTGACCTCGGGTTGGGTGCCAGTGGGGTGTGACTGTGACTTTGATGAAGAGGCGTGATTCGAAATAAAACCTGATACCGCCTTCAGCGCATTCCCCTAACGGCTATTTTGTTGCTGAATTTTCGCTTAGTCCCCCAACGGTGCCTGACTTTTCCCCTAATACCCCCTTCCCCCGCAGGTGGTTATTCGCGTGGAGCCCAAGGAGGTGGACGGCTGGGCTCTCCCGCAACTCCCGGGGCTCATATCCGACATTCTCATATCCCTCGACGATCGCTTCCTCTTCTTCTCCAATTGGCTGCAAGGCGATCTGCGGCAGTACGACATTTCCGACCCCGCGAATCCGAGGCTCGTGGGGCAGGTGTTTCTGGGCGGGGTGATACGCGAGGGAGGTGCCGTCACGGAGAAGAACGGCAACCCGCCGCCTGAAGTTCCCACTGTCAAGGTAAGTCTACTATATTACAACAAAAGAGTGTTGACTAGAACCGTCCGGCGGTACAGTCTGGGACCTGTTAGGTAGAGTCCCGATTCCACTCTCTGGTTCCTTCGTCCATAGTTCACTCCGCGTGTGCCCATCCGACCATGCGTTAGCCTAATTTCCTCCTCAAACCTACATCTATTCCAATCCTTTCACGTCGCAGGGTAACGAGCTAAGGGGCGGTCCGCAAATGATCCAGCTGAGCCTTGACGGAAAACGTCTCTACGTCACAAATTCGCTCTTCTCGTCCTGGGACCGTCAGTTCTACCCCGACCTTATCCAGAAGGGCGGGCATCTGCTGCTCGTACACGTGGACACGGAAAATGGGGGTCTCACGCTAGATAAGGATTTCTTCGTGGATTTCGGGGATTTCCCCGAGGGGCCAGCGCTGGCGCATGAGACGAGGTACCCTGGCGGCGATTGCTCGTCGGATATTTGGGTGTGAAATACATCGACGGGGACGGACTCATGGTTATAACGAGGTTAGTTTCTGGAGCACGTGAAGGCTTACCATCACTGTACACATTCCACGCTCATAAAGAGATACTTGTGCTGAGTGACACATGACATAACAGAAAACAAATCTGTTATTGCAGATGATATTGGAGATGGTGGGATGCAAGGCAAGCATCGAAACCAGTATTTGAACTACATGGCACAAAAGGCATTCATATGAACCTTTGCAGAAGAACCTGTGGAAGTCAAGCAACGAACGCCCCTCCCTACATCACACATGCACACAAGGCAACACACATACGTGTCAAATGTTGGTATTGGTTGTAGGCTGCAGTGAGTAGCACTCTAAGGAGTACAACACTCTTAGGGTTTCTATTTGTATGCCTTGCTCTCCTAAGTCAAACATTCCGTTGCATTCACTTTCTGAGATGGTATCACGAGTAGGTTTAGAATCCTTGCCTAGCCTAGCCTACCTCGCGCCCTCCACGCCCTAGAGCGTCTCCGCGCCTTACGCGCCCTCCGTCACGTGCCCTCGCACCCTCCGCGCCCTTGCGCCCTCCGCGCTCTAGAGCGCCTCCGCGCCTTACGCGCCCTCCTCCACGCGCCCTAGCGCCCTCCGCGCCCTAGCCTCGAGTAACGCGGCCTCCGCGCCCTCCGCGCCATCCGCGCCCTCCGTAACGCGCCCTCCGCGCCCTCCGTAACGCGCCATCCGCGCCTCCGCGCCTAGCCCGTCGCGTAGCCCGTGTGCCCTGCCCCAGCCCGTCACGTCGCCCATGCGCCCTGCCCCAGCCCGTAACGTCGCCTGTGCGCACTGCCCCTAGCCCGTGCGCGCCCGAGCGCCCTGCCCCTAGCCCGCCGCGTCGCCCCGCCCCGCAGGTAGCGCGCCCCCCGCAGAAATCGTGCCCCGCAGGGAGCGCGCCCCGCGGGTAGCGCGCCCCGCAGGCAGCGCGCCACGCGGGTAGCGCGCCCCGCGGGTAGCGCGCTCCGCAGGCAGCGCGCCCCACGGGTAGCGCGCCCTGCAGGCAGCACACCCTGCAGGCAGCGCGCCCCGCAGCGCTTTAGCGCCAGAAAATAAAATTAATTAATCAAACCCTAAAAAAAAAAACAAGAGGCGACGAAGTCGTCGTAGGGTTGCGAAGCGTTACGTAATCTTGTATTGCTGTATGAAATCTGAAGAATATGTTTCAAGTGTACTTGTTGATAGACTACAAAATCAGAAACTGCCACAAGAAACCTAGTCGCATCTTGACAGATTCGAACCTGAGACTCCACTATTGACGGCCGAAACACAAACGAGCGCTAACAACACTGCAAGTGGGATGCTTGAAAATTTATACGTACAGTTCAGTTGACGGGAATGTTGTTAGGTTTCCAATCTTCTTCTTCCTTTTTCTCTGCCTGTCCCCTTCAATTCCCGCAACTTCAGCTACTCCTACGACTTCATCTACCTACTCGCCACTCTGACGACTCCAGATACCGTAGCTTCTCTTCTAATCGCATCTAGTTGTACGTACTAAAGTTTAAGATCTTATTTCATCTTTAAGGTAAGACTAGAAGCTGTTGTGAGTCGCGACTACCTCTTGGCTGACGTTATTGCTGCAGATCATACCGTCCTTGAAGTTTCTACTCTATACTTCCGTCCTTTTAGTTTGTAACCGTTCATCCGTCCGTCTAACCGTGGACCTCCGCTCTCCCTTCCGTTTCGTTTAGCCAACATTATAACATCCAAATTTCAAGGTTGCTTGCACCTTGCTATGTCGATTTAAAGATGCAGTCATTTTCGACCTAGTTACCATTCCTATTTATCCTCCGCCAAGGAATGCAACCGTCCTATCTTCTGTGCCGTTTTGTTTTGTTGAAGTCAATTTCCACATATGTGATGGGTCGAGTTTAAAGCCCGCAGGCAAAATAGTGACCCCCCCCTTCTAGTTGGGTCCACTTGAACCTGTGGGAACCCTTGTGTGTTGGGAAAAAATATTCTGTTGGGCTCCCGAGCGAGTGAAACTCTGCTGGAGCGTGAGTGAAATTTTGTCCAAAATCCCCAGAAGGTGTACACCCAGAACAGCGACCCTCACAACGTCGCTCAGCATCGCCAAGCAACCCATTTTCCGAATTCGGGAAGTGACGGGCAATTTGTGTAACAAACACCGAATCAACCAGTTCACAGCGTCAAACAAGCTGTCACGGGACACGCCCTCAGCACAAGTACAAGCTGAGATTCAAACAAGCACTCATCTCGACAACCGAATTGCCAATGCCGCATTTCGCGCGACCAGACTGTACGCTGACAGTAATACTCACGCCCTTGCGGGAATTTAGTTAACGATCGCCCCGCCGTGAGGTAAACCAATCGCGCTCCTCACTCGACCAATCTGCCATCCTCACTCGACCAATCCGCCTAATGCGACATGCTGGAATTGCGCGCGGGGATACTCGGCAGGCTTAGATACCGCCGATGATTGACGCATCCAGCCATTCTTTTCCATTACTTTCCTCTCGTCGCGTCCACACCTCCCGCCCCGTCATCTCCTCCGCCAGCTCCCATATGCCTATCCACGCCCAGTGATCTCACCCAATATCCGTCTTTTTCAGCCCTTCCTCTCCCTCACCTTCCACCCCCTCCTTCCCCTCCCCCCTCTCCCCTCCCCCTTTTCCTCTCCCCCCTTTCTTCGCCGTCCCATTCCGTCTCCCCCTCATCAGATCTACGGCACGCGAATTAGCTCCGACCTCGTCAAGAACGCCCACTGATGTGAGTCGCGTTTGCATATTTGCGTGCCCAGCCGCGTACCCTTTCGCTTTCCCTTTCGCCTTCCCTTTCGCCTCCCCGCCCAGTCGTCTTCCCCCCCAGCCGTTTCTTACCACTCCCATTCCCCTCCCTTTCCTTCTTCTCACTGTTAATCTCGAACCCTCTTCCCCCCCACCCTTCCCCCTTCCCCCCCCCCCACTCCACTCCCCCCCACCTTTCTGCCGTCACGCCCTTGCTCCGTCAGTTTCATTTCGCGTTTCACTCTGCACTCTCTGTCCCTTCCTCTGGTTACCACTCACCGATCTTCGTCCCCTCCTCTCCTCTGCTGTTCTCACCTCCCTCTCATCCCCTCTCCTACCCCAATTGTCCCCTCCACTCCAACCCCCCCCCCTCACCCCCCCCTCCCCCTCCTCCGCCCCCTCGTTCCCGTCCTCCTTCCCCCCATGACAGTCGAAGACCTCCCCCGACTGCTGCACGGACTGCGCCAACACGCGTTTGAGTCGACTCAAAAGCGCCCTCCCTTGGCCTCTGTTCCCCCTCCTTCCCTCCATCACAGTCGAAGACCTTTCCCGATTGCTGCACGGATTGCGCCAACACCGCCGCCTGCCACCACAACGCTGCAATTTTACACGCCATAGTAGGTCGCACCCCTCCGCATTTCATCGCACTCCACCGTTTCCGGTGCATTGCTGCATGGACTGCGCCAACACCACGGCGTGCCACTATTTCCAGTTCTACACCCCTGAGTAGGTCCTGCTGCGTGCTGTTCCGCTCCGCACTGCTCTCCACCGTAATGCACCGGAATCTGCACCACCCCATTCCCTTTCCAACCAGTTCCCTTCTCTCCCCCTTCCCCTCTCCCTCTTCACCTCTCCCCTCCCACATCCTTCCCCACATCCTTTCCTCCCCCCCTCCTCACCTCCCACCCCCCTTCGCCTCTTCAGTTCTGGCGATGGCACCATCCTCCCCCTTGTTCCCCATCTTGTTTCCCCCTGGCCCGCACCATCCTCCCCCTTGTTCCCCACCTTCCTTCCCCCCATTCCCCATCTTGTTTCCCCCTGGCCCGCACCATCCTCCCCCTTGTTCCCCATCTTGTTTCCCCCTGGCCCGCACCATCCTCCCCCTTGTTCCCCACCTTCCTTCCCCCCATTCCCCATCTTGTTTCCCCCTGGCCCGCACCATCCTCCCCCTTGTTCCCCACCTTCCTTCCCCCCATTCCCCATCTTGTTTCCCCCTGGCCCGCACCATCCTCCCCCTTGTTCCCCACCTTCCTTCCCCCCATTCCCCACCTTGTTTCCCCCTGGCCCGCACCATCCTCCCCCTTGTTCCCCACCTTCCTTCCCCCCATTCCCCATCTTGTTTCCCCCTGGCCCGCACCATCCTCCCCCTTGTTCCCCACCTTCCTTCCCCCCATTCCCCACCTTGTTTCCCCCTGGCCTGCACCATCCTCCCCCTTGTTCCCCACCTTCCTTCCCCCCATTCCCCATCTTGTTTCCCCCTGGCCCGCACCATCCTCCCCCTTGTTCCCCACCTTCCTTCCTCCCATTCCCCACCTTGTTTCCCCCTGGCCCGCACCATCCTCCCCCTTGTTCCCCACCTTCCTTCCCCCCATTCCCCACCTTGTTTCCCCCTGGCCCGCACCATCCTCCCCCTTGTTCCCCACCTTCCTTCCCCCCATTCCCCACCTTGTTTCCCCCTGGCCCGCACCATCCTCCCCCTTGTTCCCCACCTTCCTTCCCCCCATTCCCCACCTTGTTTCCCCCTGGCCCGCACCATCCTCCCCCTTGTTCCCCACCTTCCTTCCCCCCATTCCCCACCTTGTTTCCCCCTGGCCCGCACCATCCTCCCCCTTGTTCCCCACCTTCCCTCCCCCCATTCCCCACCTTGTTTCCCCCTGGCCCACACCATCCTCCCCCTTGTTCCCCACCTTCCTTCCCCCCATTCCCCACCTTGTTTCCCCCTGGCCCGCACCATCCCCCCCTTTGTTCCCCACTTTCCTTCCCCCCATTCCTCACCATCCTTCCCCCACTTCCTCACCTTCCTTCCCCCCATTCCTCACCGTGCTTCCCCCCTTCCCCACCTTCCTTTCCTTCCCCATTCCTCACCTTCCTCCCTCCGCCAGGCATGGCGCGACGTGTGCGCAGGCGCACAGGTCAACCACCCGAAGTACATCACCCGGATTGGTGTTGGACGTTGCCTGCATTTGAGAATAAGTATCCAAAGCAAGCTACGGTGCTTGAGCAATGGGGTGCAGAGTGGCTTGGGTTGAGGTCCGATAGTGAGGTGCAGCATGGGAGGGCGACTGTTGAGAATGTTATACGTGTGTGTTGTGGAGGCAATACCCCCAACAGTTGCACGGGTCAACCGTTGCTGCCCAAGAATCATCGCTTTCGCTGCTATGTCACATACTCCCGCTTGCTCGGTGACCACCCTTTGCACAGGTTCCATTGCCCTGGCTGATATATGTCGTGATCAGCTCACTTTATCAAGAAGATGGTGATGGCTGTTACGAACATTGCGAGCCAGGGGACGTTGAGCGCTTCATTAGTCAGTGGGAGATCCCAGATGTCATAGACTATGAGATTGACGGTTGGTGAGGGTGCGAGATGACGTTCATCATGCCTAGTTGACTGTGTTGTTGTATAATATCTATAACTAACCGGCCACTAAACATTCAGGGAAGTTTTGCAAAATGCATCCTTCCCCCAAAAGTTTTGAACAAGCACGCTGCACTGCACGCAAGACAGTTGATGGTTGACGCCGGGCCGGGTGACTGGCTGGGAGACATTGCAGGCATGCCTGTTTAGCAAACAACACAAAAAATAATCAGTGGGCAGAACACAGAATGAAATTGGCTGGCATAAAGTTCCCCCGTTCAGAAGGCACCTGAACCGTTGAAGAATGCTCCCCATTCTGTTGATTCCCAAAACCCCACCCCCCCACCCCCACCTAAAAAAAGGGCTTCAGGAGCGTGAGGAGGTAAATGGTGTTGAGCGGGGTATAACAAAAACCCAGGTTGGAGGCTAGGGTCAGGCGAGAGGATAGCGAAGTGATATGTGAGGCAGCAAGTGAGTGAGTGGGGCAACCGGGGTGGAATGAAAGAATCAGGAGGGTGTGTCAGCTCATGGGTTTAGGGTTGCAATAGGTGGCTATGCGTGTAGAGCGGGGTGTGTGGAATACTCCGACGTGAAGGAGGGGAGGGGTGGGAGAGGAGGGTAGTGATTTAGGTGTTCGGGTGGTATGTGATGGGGTGGGGAGCGTGCCATGGTGGACGGATGGATTCCTACCGAGGGTGTGGGGGGGGTTGTCACCGTGGGTGGGTGGTTGGGTTGGTGGGTATGCTGGTGGGTAGGCTGGTGGGTAGGCTGGTGGGTGGGCTGGTGGGTAGGTTGGTGGGTAGGCTGGTGGGTAGGCTGGTGGGTAGGCTGGTGGGTAGGCTGGTGGGTATGTTGGTGGGTAGGCTGGTGGGTAGGTTGGTGGGTAGGCTGGTGGGTAGGCTGGTGGGTAGGCTGGTGGGTAGGCTGGTGGGTAGGCTGGTGGGTAGGCTGGTGGGGGTACGAGCGTGGGACAAAATGAACATCAGTAGGGAATAGAGGGTTTAGGGTATGTTAATTCCATGGTGGAACCGTACCTCGTGCGGTACTAACTATGTGGGTGGCGCCGATGCTGTTTCCTGGGCGGCATGAACGATCTGTGCAATGACGGGTCACCCGGTCCTGCACGCAAAGAATGTGTACATAAAGCACGACACACAAGAGTAAGTGATGATCTTGTGAATATGTTTGTGGGAAAATTGAACCCACCAGTGTGTGAAGAACGCCCAACAATAAAAAACCACAGTACTATACCCAGGAAGAATTTGATGGGGTCAAGGTGGCTTGGAGGATGCGCGACGCCACTCGGCGAAAATGTCCTTTGTCCATTGCCAGTTCATCGGTCCGAGCACGCGATCTTTCTTCCCACGGCGCACACGAGTTATCCGGCGAATCCGCACAATATGTCTCAGGACAAGACGCTCAACGGTGTTGTTCCAGTGAAGAACCGAGAGCGCAACCCGTGCCTCCATACTCCCCCGAAAACGAATCCTCTTCGGTGCATATTTGCAAACAACCGAGTGAAATGACTCGTTCAACCAGCTAGACGCCCCGAGCACGAAGGGTCGCATCTTGTCTGCGCAACAGTGTTTTTGTAACCAGTTTCTAAAGGCTAGATGCGTTGTGCCACCGTGCTCATACACTGCACTCTCTGGACCCCACCCATCGGCGACGCACCGTGGCACAATGCCATGGCGAGCACATCCAGTGTGATCACCGGCCCAATGCTCGGCAGATAGAGCAAGCTCAGTCGCGACGTCTTCCGGGGTCATAGTCCGGCCCTCTTTGGCAAGAGTAGCACAGCGCATCATCACATGATGAAAATGAATGTTGTTCCTCTGGGAAAAACTCACTTCTTCGACAACATCCATATCATCCGGTGCGTCAACCCCCCCTCCTGCACTTTGTATCTCACTCGGCTTGTTGTGTCGCGTTCCTTTTGCCTTTCGCACCCATCGCCGTTCCCCCTCTTGGGCTGGCACGCCCGTATGAATAGTATCACCCATCATAATATTTACATTGCGTCCCCAACCCTCGCCGGTGTTGTCCCACCAACCACGGTCTCTGACGTCTTGAATCTCAGCACGAGTGGCCGCAACTTCCTCTACGCACACGCCATGGGGAGAATGGGATAACAAGTAGGTTGAAGTATTCTTAGAGAGCATCGACATCGACTAATTGAAAGGACTCATTGAAAATACAAGCGGATATGTACGACGCCTTCTCAGAAATTTGATGGAGCATCTTACCTTGCTCCGTCATGTCTTCCCCGGAGTCCAATGTTGCTGCCACCGTGTCCGACCGCCCCGCAACCTCTTGGGCCAGTAACAACGATGCTTCCGAAGTCGGGCGGATCCCGTTCACAGGGTGCGGATCCCAGGCGAACATCTCTCCCACATCCTGAAACACGATCCATTCTCCGTCAGCAGCTGCATCTCCCTCATCCTCCGCCGACGCGGAGCCATCGAACGTTGCTGAGGCTACAGGTATGGGGGCTGGTTCCGTAGCTGCCCCGCCCATCCGCACAACCACACGTCGCAAATCTGGGTGCTTGTACGACGCCTCTCCCACATCCACGGTCCGGTACTCGATACCGTTCAGGGCGCCACAAACTGCTCTGACGAGCGTGTCTCTAGTCGACGAAACATTCAGGCTCCCTTTCGTCCCGTTTTGGTCTAGCCAGCGGACCAATAACATTTTCTTGATGTGCCACAGATCCTCTATGGTCGTGGCGTCCTCAACAGTCATCGCGTCATCTTTACGGCTATCCACCAACTCCCTGAGTAATGCTTTCATTAGAGTTCTCGCCATATGCCACACGTCTTGCTGATGCTCCAAACCCAATTCCGCCAACACCGTTTTGAAACTGGTTCCCCCGTCGGTTATCACTCCATCCACCCTAAAGCCAAAAGCCGCCAGGTCACGCATGCCTCGCTCAAAAGCCAGCTTCTCCATTGCTGTCGAGGAAACGCCTTCCTTCCACTTGTTGATAGTAACACAGTGAAGCACCTTGCGCGTCTCTCTATCCATCAGCGATACCGTACACCATTCACCTTCTCTCGCTTGCGACCATCGTCCATCAGCTGTAATCCAAATCTTTGCATCACCCCTCGCCAAGACCTCCTCTCTCACTCTCGCCATAGACAGCACACTCTGTTGTACTATGGTCGCCCATAGTCCATAAGGACTCTTCATGTACGAGTAGAACGTTCCTGCCGCTGTGATCGGGACCCCTATGTTGCGCGAAACTGACTCAAACGTCTGATATCCGCAACCACTGATCACGTATGCTCCCAACACCGTTCTGGTTAGCCACGGCATCTTGGGACCCTTGTTTGCCTCCTGGCCAACATCTGGCGTGCGATCACAAGTCCACCACACCTCCGTGCGTCTACATTTTAGGCATCTCCATAACAGCCCAAACGCACCCAGTGAGCTCTTCCATGATTGCAAGAGCATTGCCCCCCCACATGCCACGCCTGCAGTGCACTGGACTGTGAAGTGCAGCATCAAATTTACAAACCAGACAGTGTCCATGTAACACATGGTTCCCTTACTAGTCTCAGAAAGTCTTGGAGACGTGGGCCAGCCTCGCGGGACCCCACATCCAAAGTTTTGATGTCGCGTCGCCTCACTGGTCGGTAGGTGTGGATCAATGGCACGCACAAAATGGCATATGACACATAGTGGCGACGTTTAGTGTATTTGAACATTTGGAGCACACATGCATCTGCTGAGGGTGCAAATTTAACACTCACAGTGTACAAGGGCTCTGTGGCGCAACATCTGTCGGTGCTTCCACCGGCTGGGGTGCGACATCGGCGTCCGTCGACATGTGTCGCACCCCTATGGCCCCCAAGCCTGAGATTACTTGTTCAGGTTCCACACAGTCGGCTTCGCAGCCGCCACCTCCATCCATCGCACCAACATCAGACCTCTGCTGATGAAGTGGATTGGCTGCCTCCTCCGATCCCCCCCTCTCTGCGCTACCAGGAGCTGCATTTACATCCTCGTCTACGGATTCGTGGGGTAGCCCTTCACGCGCAGGGTTGGGGTCGGGTTCTCGTAGTATGCCAGAACGTGTCGTGACGCGAGGCAGATGACCGACGGACCTGGACCTCGCCCTTGTTTGAAATGTACCAGGCACTGTGTGTGTGTTGAGAGGTGAGTGGGATGCAAACATGACCAGGAACGAAACCAATATGGGGACGTACGAAAGTGGTTCATGAAGTACAAACAAGGTCCTTGCTGACAGAACCAAAGCAAATAGGATAGCAACGATACATCACACAACAACTTACCCGAGCCAATGAGCGCCTGATATGCCGCACCACGTCTAGCCCAACCCCACTGGAACCCTGATCCGCCGCTCTCCGCATTTGACACCTCTGGCGATGGCACAAAACTGTAAACAAGTCCACGTATCGACGTCGCGTGGAGTGTATACAGCTCCCTCACGGTGGGCAACCCGCACCCTCTCTTCTTCAAACGAACAGATGACGCGTGTGCGTCCACTCCTGCCGCAAACGCTGCCCTGATGCCATCTCCACGCACACCTGGACCACATGCATTCATTGCCTTTAACGCACACTCTGCAGGGGTATACCATGACACAACATAGTGGCTTGGAGATCATTCGTACCTGCTCTTTTTGCAGCAACTAGTAGATGCTCCACCAAAGTTGGAGCGGCTTCTATCAACAACAGTACCATATCACTGTCCCGAGGCACCAAGCCACCTCCCATAAGGCTTGCTAACCCGCATCGTAGGATGGCCCATGGTGCAGTCAAATGGCCGCTGAGTGTAAGCTTCCTTTTGTTCAGCGAACCATTCAGGCCCAACCCCGCCGACGTGTCGGTCGCACCGGCCTCACCCTCTGTATCAGACATTTTGGATGCAACTTACATAGGAACTGATGTTTTGGGTTGTAAAGAAAGGTGGCGGTAGGGTTGGGGGGAAAAGGGGGGGGGGGGGGGGGGGGAGTTGTGTTGAGAGACGGGCTATGGGCTGGAAGGCTTAGAGCGATAGCTACTGGACTGGTTTAGGCAATGCTAATGGATTGACAGCAATGAGTGAGATGGAAAGGCAGATAATCCCATTACACTCACTGTGATTGTTTTCTGCATTGTGGAATTTAGCCATAGCGGTGTGTGAAACATGATGGCAGCAGAGATTGACAGGGGTAAGCAGTCCTAAGAATGGTTGCAGTGGGTGATGTAGTAAGGCAGCAATGAGGGCAGTACTAAGGCAGCAGTGAGGTGAGTAGCAGGCAGCAGTGTGTGTAGTAGTAAGACAGCAGTGAGGGGAGTTGTAAGACAGCCGTGAGTGCAGTAATATGGCAGAAGTGAGGGAAGTAGTAGGCAGCATTGTGTGTAGTAGTAAGGCAGCGGTGTGTGAAGTAGTATGGCAGCTGTGAGGGAAGTTGTAAGACTT